GAGAGCTGCATAAAACCAGTTCCATTAATTTGTTGGAACGGTAAAAGTGGTGCCGATTGAAATACTGCTCCCATTGTAACGGTTACTGGAAGCCAATCAACTTGCATTCTCGCCCTTGTGCTTCTTCAGTAAGGCATTCCCTTCTGCTTTCATACAGTACATCTATTTTGAAACGTTTGATTCAGCAAATCATAAGTGGGATTCAGTGGGTTGAACTACAGGAGACCTAGGGACAATTACTGCTTCTTGTTTGTGTCTTGTTATAAAAACACAATGCTCCCCATGAAGTTGCCCTTCGGTTTAGTGTCGAGATTTCAATAGAGTTCCTTGAGCGAGACAAAATTCTGTTTTCCCTTCAACAACAACAGTTGAAGGACACTTTTTCATTAAATTGTTGAGCTTTTTGTTCCTTTGTATATCAGTGTTTTAAAGTTAAGCTTCATAAAATAGAAATTGCAATGTAATAGAATAAACATATGACTGAACATTTTTAAAGTTACAATTTGATGCACTTCAGTAGAGAGACTACTCAATCAGATGTCATGCTAAGAAGACCCTGCAGTGCAGAGCAGCATTGTTTGGTCCAACACTATTGGAGAAATCTAGTGGATGACCTACACTCCCCAAGGTGTGTTAAAGTCAAATAAGTCATTGGCTCCTTCCCCTGACTGGACAAGTAAAAAAAATTCTGAGGACAAAGGAATGACAGGATGAAGAGGTGGATTTGAAGGTAAAAATAACAAAGGGTCATGCTGAACAGACAATCAACCATTTCACCACAGGACGAAAAACTAGACATAAGACAAGAGGTGAGCTGCAAGCAGTAACAGGAGGATACTTGGAAGCAAACTATCTGTGCACAGTTAGATACAACTTCATTTTCTCCTTCCAACGTCATGCTGAGAGGCACACAATGACCCCTTGCACTGTGCAAGGCTAGACCAGCCGGAGAATAAAAATCAACAAGCTTTCATGAAAAATTTGATTTCTGCCTCTGAAAAACACAGATTGTCAAAGGCAAGTCAGAACACAACATAGCACGTCCTTGTCTTTGGATGCTCTAAATAGAAATGTTTAGCCATTTGGAAGGAAGTGTTTTGTCAGATCTCATATCTTACACTCTTGCAATTAAAAGTTAATAATCGGAGTACCTCAGGACGCTCTCTAATGTGACAAACAAGGGCAGAAGACTGTCTGGGACATTACAGCTCTAAGACCTGCTAATAACCTACCGTTATTAATTCTATGCTAAGGAAACTTGATCTTCCCATAGCAGTGTGACTAATTAATAATTAGCTTGACAGCAAATGAAAAACTGAGGCCAGATCAAGCTCTGGTATTTTCTTTGGAGTTAATCTGCAGCAAAGTAAATATTTCCTAATGGGCAATTTCAAAACCTAAATTCCCAGAGAATACTTTTGAATGTATTAGGGCCTTGTGGCATTACTTTGTATCCCTTTAATATAGTTTTCATCTTGGATTGCATCACATGTAGTAATCAGAGAGGGCTACGACCTTGCATTAACGAGCAAGACCTAGCGAGGAACAGGAAGGAACAACAAGGGAAAGATAAAAACATAAGCGATTGATGAGGACTGAAGGTTCATTAGAAGACCTGTCGGTGGAGGAATGTCAATGAGCTCTAAATGTCACGGTAGAGTCAACAGCAGACCTCATCACTCAATGTAGGCCTAATCTGAAAACAGCAGCAATAACTTCTTCTCCATCGCTAAATGGTAAATGTTGCACATTTCTCTTACAAAAGACTACCTGGTCTCACAGACCTTATTCCAGAGAGCCCATGCCTTCCCCTTTGCTCCTACCCCAGACCAAGGTGAACACAATGATGCATAGGTTTGGCTGCCTGCTACCTTGCTGCAGGAGATATAATTAGCCTGAGGACTAACCCCGGACCATAACCCCTAGATCACTCTCCACCTTCATGCCTAATTCAGCAGACCTCAGCCTCCTTGGCCTCCAGGGCTCCATGGCTGCAGCCTGGATCCCATGGCTGCACTCAGATATGGGGTTCAAAGTTCAAGGATTATTATAAGGGGCCATATTTTCTTGAAACATTTCTGAGGAGGGATGTTGATGCCTGGTTGCTTTATTGACTACCCTTTCATTCCTCTATGGTGTTTCCCGCCATACCGCATTTATTTGATAAGCTTACTTTTTACTCCAAATGCTACTCACATCAGACACTCCAAACTCACCAACAAATGTTTTTTTGCTAATGTGAAAACAGGAGAAGGGTCAGGTTAGAGACTGTATATCCTATTCTTAAATGCCTACCAAAATTGGATTTGCTAGTGTAACAGGGTTGGTTATGTTTCCACTTGCCTCTAATGAAATGTGTATTTAATGTTCAAGCACTCTTATTGGTTGGTTCAATTCCGATGACAATAAGGCGTGTTGTTATTGGCCCCGCTTGCAGATAGGAGGAGATTGCGAAAGTCAGGTCTCCCCAGTATGAAAATGTGATGCAAGGGGTAGGTCTTCTTCTGAATACTGTATTCTATTTCTAGATTTTACAATGTGTACAAGTTTGCTGTACATTCCTGATTTTATACCTGTGTGGGTATATAATAATATAATATGCCATTTAGCAGACACACTTATCCAAAGCGACTTACAGTCATGTGTGCATACATTTTTACGTATGGGTGGTCCCGGGGATCGAACCCACTACCCTGCCTTTACAAGCGCCATGCTCTACCAATTGAGCTACAGAGGACCACATATGGTACCTGTTAGGGATTGAGGGGCTTTCTGGGATGTGCTTTGGTATATCATTGCTGTATCTAAGTGTGTTAGCTAGAATGCACCGATGTAATGGTCACATAAGCTCACTGCTAGCACAGTTGTTTTCATGCTACAGATTTTACCATCGACAGCCATCAACATCATTAAGCCCTGCACAACTAACGTGCTGTTTCCTATTTAATCACAGGTATTTACACATTATATTTTGTATTGTATTTTTGTATTTTGTTTATGCCCCAGTATGAAAATGTGACGCAAGTGATTTTACTGTCGACACCCATCAATATCATTAAGCCCTGCACAACTAACATGCTGTTTCCTATTTAATCACAGGTAATAAATAATGATCAACTGAGACCACTGGCTGGGGTGATTTATTTTAACTAAACACAACGCAAGTTATTTCAAGGATTTTGTGTTTGAACATAATTAAGGTGCAGGAGTGCACCAGTCCTGGAATTGCCTGTAAGACAGAATTTCAAGGCTTTCTGTAATAAATGAACATATTGACACAGTACCATTCTTATGGGAGAATATCGAGCGACAAAAAAGCACTCAAAATCTGGGTCTTTTATCTGTAAATACCAAAGTCATAAAGAAAATGGTTCCCTTTGATATAGAACACAGTAGAGCTGGGACAGATATTGATGAGAGAGAGAGAGAGAGAGAGAGAGAGAGAGAGAGAGAGAGAGAGAGAGAGAGAGAGAGAGAGAGAGAGAGAGAGAGAGAGAGAGAGAAGGGGAATGTTTTTAGATTTATTTGACAGTCAGGTAGGTAGGAGAGAAGGGAGACTGTTCCACTCTGTGGATGGACCGTCGCTGTCTTCCGAGTCGATAGACACACTCTGTCACCACTGGCGGGTAATTGACAGCTTAGAGTTTGCAGTGACACGGGGCTTGCATATATTTATTGCATTACCTTGCATGTGTGCCTGCCTGGGGGCCCTGCTTTGCAATGTATTCAGGAATCAGCCAGCTAGGCAGGGGATTAAACAAGCATCTTTTGGCGGGGTTTATGAGAAAGGATGATAAGTGTTTCACCCTCAAATAGCCAAAGAGGAATAGAGACAAATGGCTCCCCACGTTTATTGATGATTAATCATTTTAATGGGGCTTGAACAGACAAGCCCTTTCCTCTAAGTAGCCAGCTTTACTTTGTTAGAGAATGTGACTACAGCTCAACAGGCCTGGGTTAGAAACATATCAACTGTTGCATTAGTGTACTGAGCAGAAAAAGGATGCGTTAGTTAAACTCAATGTTTAGCAAGCCCCCAAGAAACACTATCATCAAGAGTCAATTAATCAAATCCAACAGAGAGAAACCACAAATAAATGGAGGGTATGGCAATGCATCCTAAATTATTAATGTCTCATACCTTTCTCCTCTCCTTGAGGCCTTGATCAAACAACTTAGCTGCTGTGAACGGCGGGGTTGGAGGAGGATGAACTGGAGGAAGGGGAGGGGAGGGGAGGAAGGGGAAGCGGGGTATAGCTCCTTTGACTCTCTGCAAAGAACTCAAAATTATTCATTCATATCCATTTGCAGGGGGCGCGGCAGAGTGAGAGACGTTGGGCCTCAATTTGTCTTCCCTCTCTCCTTTCTCTGGCTGCCTCCACCCCTACAGATCATTAGTTTCACTTTTCATTAGCGGAGATCAATAAAGCGGATCAGTCTCTCATGGCGAGGATACTCAGCTCCACGGACCTCCCACTTGCCCTCCTCCTCTCCCCTCAGTCCTTCTCTCTTGTTCTCTGGTTCTGTCATTGACTCCAGCTCCCCCTCATATTACCCATCATCCTCCACAGCAGAAGGGTATACAGGGTGGAGGGCAGAGAGAGTGGGAGTGAGCCTACAGGGATATAGAAAAGAGTGAGCAGTGATTTTACTAATGCTGCCCAATAAGGCAGAACTGGCAATGTTGAATGATAACCCAATAAAGTTTAATTAAGAACCAGTAACCTCTCAGGCTTAATAATGAAGATGGCTGGGTGTGTAGCAGGACATGAAAGTTAAAACATTAGGGACTGGCAAAGTTTAGAGATGCTATACTGTTTCCATTAGCTGTAGCATTATCTTGATAGTTGCTGTTATGCTGATAAAAAGCATAACAGCATCTTGAGGGAAGGGAGGAGCACTACAGATATGACATTGTGGTTGGTTTGAGGTGGCTGCTAAATCACTGCCTGCCCCCATTGCCATTTTATCTGTGCACATTCTTCAAATTGTGTCTGTGCGTATATGTGTGGTGTGGAGCCTCCTGTAGCTCAGTTGGTAGAGCATGGCACTTGTAACGCCAGGGTTGTGGGTTCGATTCTCACAGGGGGGCCAGTATGGAAAATGTATGCACTCACTAACTGTAAATCGCTCTGGATAAGAGCATCTGCTAAAAGACAAAAATGTATGTGTGCATTTGTGTGTAAATGTAATCCTCACTTACCCAGCACAGTGAGTCGGGCGGGGCGGGACCTCATGGCTGCCTGGATTGCCTGGCACTCAAAGACCGCGTCATCCATCAGCTCCACACGTTGGATCCGAAGGTGGTGTTCCCCTGTACTGTGGTCCCCAATCACTGTGTAACGAGGGTAGCCTGGAACACAATGCAACATATGCCCTGTCAGAACCTGGAGTCTGGTCTTTCAACCTATGTCAGCACCATTCAATCCAATTGACCTTTTATAAAAGGTAGGACTTTTGTGAAACATCACAGTACAGTTGACAAATATATGGCAAGTAGAAATCCAATATGGATGGTTTTAAGAGATAGATGGGAAGTGTTGAATGGAGCTGAAGGATGGGACAACTAACAACAACTAATAACAACAAGATAACTAATGTAAAGCATACTGTGTCCATAATAAATATATAGGTTATAGGTTGAGAGCTTTTGTGAAAAAGCACAGTTAGAAAGATATGGTGTATTGAAGCAAACCAGATGGACATCATGAAAATGATCGGAGAGGTTGAGGGTAGAGGAAGTTCAGGAGTAAAAACAAACAAAATAGAATTATTGTAAAATTGACTGTGTCCATAAAACGTATATAGTATGTATAAGCTGGAAGTAGAGGCCTAAGCGTTGTTGTTCACTAGTTTACTCTAATTAGGGAAGGGGTGGTGGGGTTGGAAAGTAATAAAGGGAAATATTTGTTTTTAAAGGATATGTATATATATGTGTGTATATGTATTAATATTTCGAGGAAAAATACATATGGGGGATTGGAAGTGATGCAGACAATTACATTGATGGAAGTTACAATCTACCTGCAATATTAGAGCTGATCTACACCCCCCCCCCCCCCCCCCAAAAAAAAATAAAAATAAATAATAATAATAATAATAATAAAAAGGTAGGAGATATCAAAGCATGGTACAACAATGCCAGAATGCAGGCAATCACAAATGACTGAAGGATCAGTGGTGCAATATTGATTGTTGACTGCTGTGTTACTGGGCATTTTAGGTCATTTGAGATGAGACCTTATTATACCTGTCTCAGAATTCTTAGTGTCACCCACGTCAAGCCAGATTTTCTCATTACATGGGTAGAAGTAGACATTTTAACACTGGATGAAAACGGGAATTCTGTAGATGAGAATAATGATAGGGGTTGAGGAGGTTTCTGTATTTGGGAGAGCGAGTACGTTTTATTGCAATGGTGAAGAGACACGGCTAGAGATTGAGATGTGTTTCAGCAGGGCAATGGTGTGAGATTAATAGTTTAATAATGCAGGAAGAGGGAGGTATGTCCAGGAGTCCTGGCCATTTTACATCATGGAGTAGTTGGATAGCTCTAAAACTCCAAAAAAGAAGTGAGAAAGGGATATGTTTGATTGTGAAGCTTTCAATATGAAAAACTTGAACAGCTCTCTAAAGGCTGAGCTCGGTGTAACTATTGGATAAATGTGAATTGAAACGAGATTCTTTGCTTGTGAAATTCTCCAAAATGTTCAGTATTTCTTGGCAGTGATTGCTTTCTCTTCCTAAGGTTCTTCTGCAATTCACTGATGACAGAACACAATAGAGTGGAGAGTTTTAAAGCATAACCAGGCCAACAGTTAAACATTTTATCCGATGATGTGGATTGTCAAACTGAACTTCTACATCAGATGGTGTTCCACTCTAACCAGCTACAATCTCTGCCAACCTCGCTGTTGAATCACTGCCATTAAAAGTCTGGATGAAAAATGATTCCATTGCATCCATCAATGAGTCATGTTCTCTTCAAAGATATTCCAGTGACTTAGTATAAAACACTGGGGATTTAAAGAGGTATGTTTTAGCACATGCCACCCAAAATGAGTATAAGAGACTAGGACTAATAGACTAGGAGATATAATGGCTTTTAAGTCCTTGAGTTCGGCTATTGAGACCACTGTGCTCCGAATGTCCAATTATCGTCCATTGCTTTACTGGATCCCATTCACTTTCATAGACCATGAAGTGGCCCTAATTTTCTCATAGCGGGATGAGTTACAGCCATTTAAACCGCTCTGCGTTTCATCTCCCCACATAGCTTTTAATCTTTAGGAGGGTGGGGGGTGGAAGCAGGAGGGAAGAGTACACATAGCCGTGGGAGGTAGGGGTGCTGAGGGTGCTGCAGCAACCCCTGAAAAATCACTTTATAAAAAATCTTAATATTTTTTACAATTATTATTATTACTATTATTATTTCACAAAAGCAGTGCACTGGGCCTTTAATAGTCCTGTATTAGTGGACCAATATTGGCGTCTGCAGCGTCAGCGCGGGCAAAAATATTTGTCCAGGCACTTACCTCCCCCCGTCGACAAAACGTACTCAGTACCCCCCCCCCACACTTCCTTCGGCTATAAGAGTATTTAGCATAAACATAGAAGGTAGGAGCAGCATACAATGAGGTACCAAACAAAGAGAGGAGGGGGTAGGCCATGTGAGCTCTGAGTGGTTCCTCTGTTTATAGGATCGTCAGATCCTCAAATAGAGAGTGCTATCTCCTGCCCACATACCGCTGGCAGTTATGGGTCTTATTATTCACATTGATACATAAGCTTCCATACAGGGCCAGAAGAAGTTCAAAAAGGTTACACATCACTCTAATATAGTGTTGATCAAACTGAGCAGCACTCGCTTAATAACGTTAATGACCATTGATCTTGAGTTCCATGTGGTTGTTGATTATGCAGCCAGTGAGTCAATGGCTTCGTTGAACTATTTATTAGCAATAAAGCACAGCTTGACTGAAATATTTCTCTGAAGTTGAATGAGACTCCATTCCTGAAATATATGCTTTGACTGAAAGTCCTTCCATGTTGTGTTCAAGTACGAGAACCTGCTTAAGCACAATGCACTGGTGTGACCCTGTGTAAGCTCAGGAGAAAAAGTATGTATGCGCACATGACTGTAAGTCGCTTTGGATAAAAGTGTCTGCTAAATGGCATATTATATTATTATATTAAAAAATACATTATTTCTCCACAACAAGCAGGCATTGTAAATGGTATGACCTTGAGGTGACCCCGTCTATCCAGTGGAGGAGCTTTCTGTCCTAAATATGTACTGTAGGCATATTGTGTTGTCCTCGTGCCCTCTAGCAGATTGAACGTAATAAGATGTCCTGTTGTAATACAATAAAGCTTGCTAACTGAGAGTAAATGGAAAAATACCTTAGCATAAGACCAGTTTAATGGCATTTAAATGCCTTTTAAATAGACATTGGTGTATTTTGTCCCTGTGGCATAACTGGGTTACGTTTATGTCAAACAGATCACACACACAATGGCATTCTTATGTAGAGTGTAGAGCATGCAAAAACATTGGTTTATTGTATGGGAGGAAATTGCAGGGACGTCACTGTTGTATAAATATAACTCACATTGATTTCAATGAATCTCAAAGACAACGTGTGTTAACTAAAGCAAACAATGTAAAATAGCCCCATTAAGGGTAATGAATCCATCAGGACAGAAATTGATTTGTCTTTATGGTGGATCAATGGCAGGGGAAGGGACGATGAATAAAGGCAGGGGGGTAGTGATTTACGCTATTCAGGAAGAACACGTCTCACACTGACACCTCCAGGGATGGAAATTGGGTAGTTGGTGTTGGGAAATGGATGACTAATGTTTAATTTGCTGTCAGGGGACAAGCCAGAGGAGCACACGTGTCAGGTAGCTTCCAATGACTCTACACCACTGTCTAGAATGTTAAGAACACTATCTGGAACATTCTAAGACTTCGGTTTTCAATCATTCCATTGTGCCCTCCAAAAAAGTGCTCACCAGTGGGCACTCTCCATGGACTGCTTGGAGATATAGTCATGCCATTCATGCATATTCATGCCATTCATTTGGTGCAGCTTTGGGCCGGTGCATCTCTCTCTTTAATTAGAATAGAAGGCGCTACACAAAGAGAAGGAGCAGGAATTCAGGGAGCGATAGGAATCATCCTCTTTTGTCCTCTGATTTATCAGACTAAATAGTGAAAGATTTCTCTCATTTTAATCACTGTTCCCCTGAATTGAAACAGGCCCAGGCGGAGCGAGCTATTGCAAACGCAGCTCCTTCTATGAATAGCAGAGGGGTTCCTATATTGAAATGCTCTGCACAATATTTGACGCCTCACACTGTTCTGTATACAGCTGCTTTCCTTGTGTATATAGCCGTGGATATGCCATCATTCTTAATGGCTGACTGTATTGCTTGTTGACATAGGCAGAGACGATAAAAAGAGCAGCTGTGGTACACTTTTTTTCAAAAAGTGACATTCATCTTAATCCACTGCTCTAAGACCCTGTCCATGCTATGCTTTTTAATAAAGATCTCTTTCGTCGATGTATCTCATCGACACAGGCTGTATGGAGAAGGGCTTTCAGATTCTGCCCATCTCTGAGCGTCCTGGCCCGGCCATTGATCCAAATACAGAGTGAAGTGTGGGTTCACAGGGGTGGAGACACGATGAGGTCAGTCCACAGCCTCCGTCCACAGCCTCTCGCCCATGACCGCTAAACTGCTGCTGATGTGCCGTTAAGAGTCGCTCTCACCCTCTCTCACCCTTTCACCCTCTCACCCTCTCTCTCTCTTCTCGTTATCATAAGTCCTTCTCCCTCTCCTCCCTCTCCTTCTCCACTTCAAAACTGTTGTGTCATTGTTTACTGTCTTCCCCAGCCTCCCGGTGGCCTGATAAGGGCCAGACAGGTGAATGGGATGGATTTATTGGGACACCGTCGTCCACTGAGGTTTAATTAAGGAGCTCTATCGGTGACAGAAGGCAGGCAAACTAGAGCAGTCACTGAAGGTCAGAGGGTAGAAGACCCCATATCTCTAGTGGAATACATATTTAATCGCCCGGATCATAAGAGGCCCCGCTTTTAAAGGGCTCCAGTTGGGTTTTTTGTCATGACTTGAATGGCAAGTACTCTGAGAGACAGGCTAGAGATCCCTCAGTGATGGAGGAAGAGAGGTGTGAAAGGAACTTGGCTATTTTCAGACTCATCGCCCTTACTCCCTGTATAAGGCCATAGAATGTCTTGGAATCCCAAGGATTTCTAAAGACAATCGGGGGGATAAAATATATTTTAATAAATAATGCAGATTTTCCAAGCTATACGAATTTACTCTCCCAATAGTTAGTTAAAGTTGTAAATATCTATTTGGTAGAATAGATAGTCATCATGTCTCATGAATATGGATCAGGCGCCAACGTCAAGTGGAGAAACTGCAGGCTACTAAAATGACAGTGCAGCAGTAAGTGGTACTCCAAATTAAACAATTAAGGTAATAATACAAGAGCCACAATGTAATTCCGATTGTGAGTTACTCTTCAAAAGCCCATTTACAAGCTAAAAGAACTTGAAATGTGACCCGTGGCTATATTGATTTCACACTCAGTGTTGATTTTCGAACTTCTTTGCCCACCACAAACTGTTATTGAATTAGGTTTATCTTTCTATTAGATAGTAATGAGGCCTTGTCAACATTTTTGTGGTAGTGCTAAAATGAATACAACTGTCTGGGGTATTTCACTGTATATGTTATTGGATGCTAGATATTTTGGGTGGAAAATGGAGTGTGGTAATTAAATCTTGAGTCCCACTGTCACGCCGGTGTGTCATTGGATTCGACTATGTCTTCTGCATCCGCTGATATCAACCATTAGTATGTGTGATTATGAATACATTTTTTATCAGGGTTTTGTTTGGCAGACCTTATTTGTTTATTGACATTTGTAAAAAAAAAAAAAAAAAAAAACTCATGAATGTAACTGTTTATGTCAAATTGTTTTCATGTTCTACTTGTAGCCCTGTTTGTCCTGAACAGAACATTGTAAAACACTTCAATGTTAGGCTAAATACGAAGACAGAGCAGGCAGATGGATGAAAGTATTGAATTTCAGCTTGTTTAAAGCTTAATGCAAAGTAGTGCATTGTTATAGGATTGTGCTGTATGTTTGTCTACCTGCTGGGTGATATTTCTACAGCGATGAGGAAGAAGACTTAAGCTTTCAAAAGTTGAAAATCAGTGAAGGGAGAAATCCCACATTGACAGATATATGACAGCGTGTAAGTAATATAACTAGTTGTAACAGATTGGAAAAGGGATTGGAAACAGACTGATTAAGAGAGTGACATATGGATTGATAAATGTCTTTCCTTACCTGATAGGTCTCTGCCAACGCCTAGAGCCAGGCCATCTTTGATCCACAGGACAACACCATGGTAGCCAGGGATGGAGCAGGGCAGGGTGACGGGCTGGCCGGCCACCACCACCAGGTCCTGGGGCTGCTGGGAGAACATGGCCTGGACCCCTGGAGAAACACACAGAAAGATAGAGGCACGGTAAGATACTATGATCCATAAGCCCTGGGTAACCAGTTCTCTAACACATTCAAAGACATTGCCTTCAAAACACCTAACCCAAATGAACTGGTGCAAACACCAAACCTAACAATCCCCTAACCCAGGATTTTCAAAATTCAGTCCTGGGGCCCCCCCCCCCTGGGTGCAGATTTTGGTTTTTGCCCTAGCACTATATAGCTGATTAAAATAATCAAAGCTTGATGATGAGTTGGCTATTATTCAGCTGTGTAGTGCTAGGGCAAAAACCAAAACGTGCACCCAGCGGGGGCCATGACCGAGTTTGGGACAACCCTGCCCTAACCCAACAAGATACGTGCATTAGAGGTGTTCCACTTTTCTGAAACTCTACTCGGCAAAAGCAAACGAAGCATTTTCATTTACATATGATTTCACCCATGCAGATTGACTGCTCCTATGACACTCACTAGAAATCACAGCTCTGTCTGCCAACATCACATCTCTGGCACACATTAACTCACACTCACACTCATATACTTCAGCCATTCCTGTTATTAGCCGCACGGTGCTACCAGAGCTCAGGCACAAAGTGTGGTGTGAGGGTGGGTAGGGAGGGGGTGGTGGGGTGGACAGGGGGTACTGGAGGCACAGTGGGGTAATGGCACTTAGTGAGAGGTGTCACTGACATGCAGTGTTGGTGAGCGTGTTGAGGCTCTGATATACCTAAACAGCAGCCCCCCCATCACCCTCCTCCTGCTTGGCATCCTACCACACTGTAGCACAAAGACCGTTGGGTAATTGAAAGGCCTTGTGAGAGGAATAGCGGGGAGAGAAAAAGCTTTTTAAAGTCAGCCTGTCATCTGGGCTATAGCTCTCACCTCCCTGCGTCTCGCTGCCACCATCTGAAACCAGGGTTGACTGAGATGTCAGCCTCTCCAGCACATTGTGTTTACCAGGAGCTAAAGCGCGGTCCTACGGCTTACTTTAATGTAAAGACAGGCAATGCATCTTGGGGTGTTGGGATAAAGCAGGAATCTCGACTGAGGTTAACAAGTGACCCTTGTGGTCTCTCAGATCAATAAGATGGACTCTCGTTTGAGTTCTCTCCTGTTTCCTTCTTTTTCTTATATCTTTTTTAAATTGTTGTGCGAAGCTTAGGATGGCCTTGGCTAGTTTGTTTGTGTTCTCTCCCTCTTATGGACACACATCAACCACCCAAACCCCCCCACACACACACAAAGAAAAGAATGAAGAGATATGTGCTTCCTCCCCTGATAATTCTGTTGCAATATCTCCAAGGGGAGTAAACGCAGCAGATAGGAAAGGAAATGTAACGGAGTTCAATAACAACAATAACAGAATACATAGTAAATGATGTTGCTGTCTTTAATGCACCTCTATCCACACAACATGTTGGATTTGCTTACAATATTCATGTTCTTTTTATGCTTTGGGTTGTTGTTTTCCTATTTTCTGATAGTAATTACAGAGGAGAAACAGATTAGCTTTGTTTTACAATGTTAGTACAAAGCAGAGAGAGGGACAATAATAGATTATGGAAATACAAACACAATGTCTTTAATTCAGTGGAGATATTACATTAGTAAACACATCAGTCATATTCAGTCCTGCGGCCAGTGAAACGTGAGTGAGTCTCCATATTGATTTATACAAATTCTCCCCCATTGTATGCCGCGTCTCCTGCATGCACCCCCATTATTAAATCAACATCTGAAAACATGTGCCGGGAATCCTTAAGCATATATTGGACTATTCATCTTCGGGAACCCGACGGGCCTCTCCGGCATGTTTTCCTGTGACGTTTTTGTTGTGTTGGCCTTGGGTATACTACCCAGACAGCCTTGTTCCGACTCCCCTATGAGGGGTTTATCTTGGCTGCACGCAGCGAACCAGTCAGCGCTCAGACACATGGTAGGAGAGACAGCGGCTTGGCGAAATCTCTTGGCATGTGTCAGAACAAGAGAACGCGAGAGAATTCACTTCTATTCTGCTCTCTATCCTCCCAGTCAGGATTGCTATTATCAACCACTTCAACCTGTGCTGTAATTGATTTAATGTCGGAGGTGTCTCCGCCTTGGCAGCACTAATGCCTCCATACTAGCTTCTCCCCCTTCTAACCCCCTGTTCAAATCCCTCCTCCCCACCCCGTCAAAATCCTTCTCGTCATTGTAACAAATTAGACAGATTAGGATGATTTTCTCAGAGGTTGTCACAGCCTCCCTTCCTCCTGCGTCAGGTCTTCTAATTATTATTATTCACATCCTAGCATAATTATTTGAATTAGCGCTAACATCTAATTAAAACGGTAATGAAAAATAATACAACGCTAAAATAACTCCTGCCAAACAAACATGCTACCCTAAATATTCCCTTCTGGAGATACTCTGTTTCAAGACAGTAGCTAGGTTTCCATCCAATTGGCAACAGATTTTCAAGCAAATATTCTAAAATCCACATGAAGACAATATGCACTCTACCACTCAGATTATGCACAATTCCAGCTTCACTAGGTGAATGGAAACTAGATCAAACAGCGCCGAAGCCATTGTTAACTCCCCAGTATTAATAAACAACCCATTAGTTGATGAAAGAGCCATTCTCCACAGACAGAAATAAGAGAGCACAGAGGTTTCTCAAGAGTACAGCCTCTCCTAGACCCTTACAGACACAGGAGGGCTACAGAAGTCGGTGGAAGAGAGAGAGAGCGAGAGAGAAGCTGGGAGATTAAAAAATACCCTCCCACAGAGAAAAATACAGTCCACCTGGTGTGGCCACTTGACCAGCAAAATGGCGATCTGCTTAATTCACGTAAAAAGGCTATCTATGGAAGTCCACATATGCAGGTCAACAGAGGAGCACTGAGAACAGGTTAGGGGTGGGGGTTAGGGAGGGTGGGTTGGGGGGGCAGAGTAAGCCCATATCAGACTAGAGGTCCTTTAGCAGTGTTGGTGAAGTCACAGCCCTGTGCATCGTACAAGGCTCCGTCGCATCTGCCAGCTTTCCGCTCTGGTGGACGGCAGGGCGGCTTTAGCGGAGCTCCCTCGTTTACCTCCTCCTCTTCCTCCCTGGGCCAGCCACAGGGGCAGCTGAGCATGACGCGCAGTGGAGTGGAGATAACAGATTCCTCTCCTCCTCTCCTCCTCCTCTCCCCATGCAGAAGAATGGGGGTTCAATAACACCAGATGATCAAAAACGAGGAGTGAGAGACAAAAAACTAAAGTGGAGCAAGAAAAACCTAGGCAATTTTATAATAACAAAACAGTGAATGAAAAAGTTGTGTGGGGTTTGGGAGGCGCTGGTAGCCGGTAGTAGGAGAGGGAACTGATTGCAGTGAGGCTCAGGTGCTGGAGGAGATAGAAGAGATCAAAGATCCCTCTTAATAACGCTTTATTAACTTGGAGGAAGATGAGAATGAACCTTGTGAAACATCTAGACAGCAATATGCTGAGATAAATGGGGCCTGATTAGAGGGGTCAGGTGTGTGTGTGTGTGGGAATGTGTTGGTATTTGTAGAGATAGTGTAGACACCAGGTGTCTATCACTGAGGACACTGAGGGTAGGAGGGAGGGAGGGACTTGGGCTTTCCCACCTAGCAACAGCTCCTCAAGCTAACACTTCACCTGTTTTCACAAACATTTTGTATAAAAAGCGCTGACCGGTAAGTCTCTATTATTCTGTAAATGGGAGGTATGTTTCTCTCAGATGGAGATATCAGAGTGCCACTACATGGTACCTTGGCTCGGCTCTGTCCACAGCAATGGAATAAATGGGGTCTATCCTTTGTTGGTTTTCAAGTAGGGCCATACAGAACATGAATACCTCTCACCATTGACCCATGGGCCTCCAGACCACTGCTCACCCCCTGAGTAGCCTTGCAGCTGCCTCTCTCCCTATTTACCCAACACAAATCACTGCTCATTCACACAACACCTTCTGATTGAACACCATGGGTCAATTGAGGAGGTAAAGGCAGCAGACCTTTGATTGGGAATGAAGGGCTGAGGGTTCTGGAGGAAGCAGGCTGTTAGAGGTGCTGAGCTGGGCCACATAATGCCTGTACGAGCACTCTGCCTTCACCTAATGATTTCATTTCACTTCAGATAATTAGTTTACCATTGGACGGCGACCGCGTTTCCAAACACTCCAGCGCTATTTTCACCCGGCACTAACGGCCTCGCTGCGGCCCCCAATCTAGCCACTGTGCCAATCAGCCCTGGAAATTACCTTTAGTTGCACATCCAGTCCACTTGAGATTACTAATCAGAGCGTCGGCCGCCCAATGCCTGCCATGCTGTCCGTGTTGCCTGGAGCTCAGCTGAGGCTCATAACCAGGGACTATTACCCCCCCCCTGGTCTTCACATTTCCTCAGGCCTGAGAGAGCTGGAATGTACAATAAGGAAGGAGTGTGCAAGGTAGTTTTGTGATATCTTTGGCCGAACGCATGGTGTGGCTTCCCTGATGGCTATATTGGCATGGATCTGCCTTCACCTGCCCCTCCTCCCATCCCTCCCTATACCTCCTCTCCCACCCACTGGGCATGCTGTTTTGGTTTGTTCATTTGCTGGGGGCGGAAGCGCCGTCTCCTATTCCTGTGCCTGTTTACCACGGGGACTGTCTGCCAAGCACAGCTACCTCTAATGAGAGTGTAAAATGAATGAATGAATCCCATCATTATTGTGTTTTCCTTTTCAACATCCAAGGCAACCTCAGTCACATTAGAATCATCATCCACTCAGCTAGTGGGCCCCCACTGTTCCATTTCTTCCTGCCCAAAGATGAAAAGCGCCCCACTGAAGACAGATAGGCAAATTATCTAAGCGCAGCGACAGGCTTTAAATGTACGTGTACCGATGCAATGTGAGTTATTTGAGGACATAATAATGGGTAAAAGGACTCCAGCAGTTCTCCACTAATCCAAGCCCGAGGACCAAAGTAAACACAAACCCAAGCAATATGGATTACTATATCTAAGCCCATCTCTCTCTAATTGAATTCTGCCTATTGGGCCCAACCTGATGGCTGGATCAATCTGAGCTCCCCATCTCTCTGCCTATACCTCCATAGCCAAATGTTTATGTACAGCTCATCCTTCCGGCTTATCGCCCAATGCATCGCTTTGGCTCCCTAATTCTCCTCACTCAATCCCCAACAAGGCACCTCTGTAAAAACAGCTCAAAACAACACAAGTTCAAACCGGGCACCCCTATGTGTGATGTGTAGATTCCACAAAAAATAAAGACTTCAGAGAATATGGAGCAGCAACACAGGGAGGTCAGTGGATGAAGGTTAATCTTACCCTGGACCAAATCCGGCATTAAAAGCACTTCTTTCAGAAGGGCAGACATCACTGAATGAAGTCTTGCTTTAAAAAGTAATCTTCCTATGCTGGAAATGTGATACAAAATTGCATAAATATGACAGCACTTCCATGCATTGGATTTCTCCACGTTGATAACGTTGTTCCCTGCGCGAAGTCTTCAGTACAAGAGTCCCCACAGTAGCATCAAGTCAGGATTTTTGATGAATCTATTTCAGTGTATTCACTTATGGGTTTTGAGGGAATAGGATAACAAGAATACTAAACAAATTACTTGAATGTGATTCTCAACTGTATACAGTTGAGGGCGTCATAAACGTTACACATCAGTAAATGCTCTTTGAAGCCATACTAGACTACACCATACACACAGTACACTCAATTCTTTGTCATTTCTCCTCGAATGGCTTTGTTCCAATCATTTGGCCTTCAACTTATTCAAGTGAAATGCCACATTGTGATTGACAGCAGAGATTTACAATGCATCCGCCTCCATCTCGTCGCAAGTCATCCTTCCTCCTGGAGACAGAGACACATGCTCTTGCCCTTCATCGCCACACGCTGATCAGTCACACACTAACCACTCCACCGCTCGCTCTCCGACTGACCGTGCCGGGTCCGTGATTGACGCACTTAATTATCTGGAGCGCTATCACTAATTCGACAAGAACCGTGCTGTGAGGTGCATCAATTAATTAGTAGGGCATAAAGCAGAAAGCCACAGTGTGTAATACTCAAAGTCATGGCATTTTCCTGAGTTTCTTTCATTAGGTATGAGAACAAGCTAGCTAGCTGCTTCGCTATACTGACTCGCGGCACTACTTATCAATCTCTTTTGTTTCTACCATTACTTCTAGACTGGACTGTGGGGACTAAGAGGCTGACAGGAAGTAAGGTGAGGCTGGACTATTATTAGGATGGGGTGCATGAAGCATTTGACAAACGCTTCATGAACCACAGCAAGGTGAGGCAACAGCTGAGGCCCCACACCCATTTTATCTCTATTATGCTAACAACCAATCAGAGAGAAAAAGAAGGGTCTTCTATGGAATGATTTCAATGCCAACAGAAATTGTATTTGAATTCCATAATTTTTTATTAGGATATTGAATTTGAATGTAACATTATTTATTTTTAAATGTAGAAATTGAATAATTGAATAAATAAATTGAACTTGAATTTCATGATTTGAAAGTTAATAGAGTGAATATTGCATTCAGTTTTAAATTCAATTACAATTTAATTTAACACTCAAATTCAATATTTATATGTTCAGTTTCCATATGGTTGATATTGTGTTAATTGTCTGTGTATCAAGTTTACAAGCTATTATTTCAAGTTCATCAAAGTTTCAAATATTCAACTTCTCTGATGCATTCAGATTCTGTTTTCAAATTCAGTTCTCTAAATTCAGATTCATAACCAGAGACAACATCCTGGTACTTTGCCAGCCAGGAAAGGTAGGAGAGAATCAAACATGTCACTGTGGTAAACAGAAGCTCCTGGTGGTCTCTGACGCCAATGTGGCATGTTTAATTTATTTTCTTCCTATGAATTTGGCTCTAGCATTTGAACCGTTTTGCTAAGACTCTGTGGAACATGGGCGTGCCTTCCGTTTCCCTCAATGATGATCACAGGTCGCGCTAGAAGGGAGTGTAAAAAAAACGCAATTTGGCCCACATAAAAATTCAGTGGTAAATATCCCTGTCATAGCCCTTCTAAGGATAGCCTTTCCACTCCCTAATTAATGTTGCTCTTGTGACTGACTGGGTTCGAACCGGGTCTCCTGCATGTCATTATTCTCTCAATTCAGTTTAAAATCATGAAATACAAGTTATGAATTCAATGATTCAATTTGTGCATTACAAATTCAAAAATATGAAATCCTAATTCACTATCCTAATACAAATTCAAAAATATGAAATCCTAATTCACTATCCTAATACAAATTCAAAAATATGAAATCCTAATTCACTATCCTAATACAAATTCAAAATTATGAAATCCTAATTCACTATCCTTATACAAATTCAAAATTATGGAATTAAAATACAATTCTGTTGGCACTGAAATCACTCCATGACATTTCCTGACACCCCATAAAAGACTGACTTGTGGACTAAAATGGATGAGTTACAGATTTAATGGATTCCTTTGTTATGATATACTTAGCTGCATGACATCATACTGGGGCCTGATTGTAAGTCATTGTGTTCTGAATGTTCAACTTCAAATCAATGGTCATTAAAATGTAATATAGTATGATAGTATAATAATGAATGACGTAGGAAAATAGTTATGAGAAGATTACGGGTCACTACGTAAGTCCCATATTAACTTTTCAATTATTTATCATTAATTTACTTCTTCATAGAGATTAATATGCAAATTATAAGGTCACTTTCCTGATGTTTGGTCACCTCGATATTGCATTGCATTCCCACACGCACAGATGTACACACAAGTATCATAATATGATAAGTCGAGAGCTTGGTTCTATCTGCATTTTTGTCAAAATGTAGTTATTGACATAGCCTTGTTCTGTTTATTTTATTTTCTGTTTATTTATTTATTATTTAACCTTTATTTAGCTAGGCAAGTCAGTTAAGAACAAATTCTTATTTACAATGATGGCCTACCAAAAGGCAAAAGGCCTCCTGTGGGGACGGGGGCTGGGATTAAAAATACAAAATAACACACATCACGGCAAGAGAGACACCACAACACTACATAAAGAGAGACCTAAGACAACAACATAGCATGGCAGCAACACATG